ATCTATTAGATCCAAAGATCAACATCACCAATTGATGGTATTCATACATCCCTAGGGTTGTTGACCCCAAATCTATCCCACAGTTGTAGAACTAGAAAGGAAAGTAGAATGCATACTCTAAATTGATTTCCACATAACAATTATCAAGAAGAATTCGATTTCCCAACTTTTAGGACATATACCGAAAACATATAACCCTAATCTTAAAACTATACATCATTAGTAGGAATAGGAAGGAGAAGCAATAGGAAACAATAGATTACCTTTGATTGAACCTAAACCTCTTGATTTTCTCCAAATCTCCAGCAGACTTCTTCTTCTTTCCTTCTTTCTCATGATCGTACACATACACACTAGACTCATTTTGATTGCAAATGAGAAGGAGCTTCCTAAATGTTAAAAATGAAATAATATAAGTCAAGATGGAGAGGCAATAGAATGCAATGAGTGCTCGTTTTTACTTCCTAGTTACTTATTATTAGGTAAAAATAAACCAGCTTATTTTTTTAGTACATATCTGAATGCAAGTAAATTAACTTATAAGCAAACTTATTTAAACACTACTTGATTAGAGTAGTGTTTTGGTAGCTTATTGTCATTTTTTTTTTCTTCAATTATAACTCTTATTAATATTAATTATAAATAAATATTAATAAAATTTAAACATTATTATTATTAATAAATATATTAATTATATATTATACATTAATATTATTAATTAAGTTTTTCCGATGATTGTTAATTATATCAAAGTATTTTCATATTATTATTTTTAATTATTATACATTTATGCACAAAATCTTAAAAGTCTTAAAAACAACTCCTAATGCATTAAGTACTACTACTTTATAAATTCAGTTTTAAAATCTCTTAATCTACGGTTGAAATAACATATAATATAACTTATTAATGCACATTATTACATTTTCTTTTCATATTCCCAAGATATTTTTGACATATTTCACTCATGAATTCATCCTCTCATACTTCTATTTGTTTACCATGAGTTATCAAAAGTTCTTTCATTCATCTCACATTCAATTGCTCTAGAACTCTCTGTCTCGCTCTCAATCTCTTGATTCTTTGCTCTTAGGGTAAATCGAACTCATTTATGGAGTCGTTTAAATATGTTGGATTTTAAACTGTCATACAATTTTTTTAATCGATAGACTGTAATTGAAACCACAACTCTTATTTATTCAAATTGTATTAATATGTTAAGATCAAGTGTAACTTATATCATCGTTAAATTTTCTCTAATAAAACCAGTGAAACTTCAAAATTGTTAAAATTCACGGCTTTCATCGCATTGCATGCACGGGTACACAACTAGTATTTTAAAATTATAATTGATTAATTTTTTAAGATATATTTTTTAATATTTTAAATTCTTATTAACTAATCTATATATATATATTAAAGTAGAAACCACATGCAATGATGTGGCCTCTTCTCAAAGCTAGAAAGTGTTTTATCTTTTCTCTCCTTTTCTCAAGCTTTTCTCACCTCAATATTTATTTTTTATTTTAATATTAACTAATTACTTCAACCTAATCATGTTCTCTCTAATAATTGATGTTTTAATTGTCATTATTTCTCTCTTTTCGGTTATAATTTTTCATTTTCTCTTCATGGTATATCTCTATGATAATCTATCTATTAATCTCTCAATTCTTCATCTCTATTCAATTATAATTTTGTGGAGGCGATTTGTATTTTTGTTGATTTGAGATGTCATTCAATAAGACAAATCATGGTATAGGTTTTTGCTTAAGTAACTATAATATTTCTGTCTTTTTGCTTATGGGTTTTTCTTCTTCTTTATTCAATTATAATTTTGTGAATGCAATTTGTATTTTTGTTGATTTGAGGCGTCATTTAATAAGACAAATCATGATATGGGTTTTTGTTCATGTAAGTATAATATTTCGTCTTTTAGTCGGAGACATTCACACTAAACTTGGAATTATATAGGCATATGAATATTTTTTGTGTCGATAAAGTGTCATACGAATCCTTGAGGAAATAAGGTAACATTGTTTAAGCATAACAATCTCTCTTAATCTCTCAATTCTTCCTCTATTCAGTTTTTGTGGAAGTGATTTGCATTTTTGTTGGTTTGAAGTAATCCAAGAAGACAAGTATGATATGGATTTTTGTTGATGTAAGTATAGTACTTCGTCTTTTAATGGAGACATTCACACTAGAATTGGAATTATGCAAGCATATGAATCYTTTTTGTGTGAATAAARTGACATATGAATCATTGATGAAATAAGATAACATTTTTTAAGCATATGTAGAACATAAAAGTAAGTTTTTTTTGTTTGTTTATCCATTAACTTGATAAACTTATTGCTAGAATATTTTTGCATTGATGCTAGAAGAGTGTATCAAGAAAGATGGTTTATGATTTTTTCAGATCGGTAATCTTTCATATGTTTGTTAAGACATCAATGTTGATCGGTCTATTCCGATTTTTTCTTTCTTTAGCATTGCGCTTGAAAATTATTTTCTAATATTTTTAATTCTTAAAGGAGAAACCAAACATAATAAGGTGTCATCCTTTAAACATTAGAAACCTATCTTTCTTTTCTCTTTGATTTTTTAAAATATTTGATATATGTAAAAAACTTTCCTGTCCCTATATTTAAAACATGAAATTTATTAGGATAAAAGTTGTTTTGATAATTTTTAAAAGTTTAACCTACAACATTTTCATCTTCATTTTTGGATGTGAAACCTCCAAACCCTTTCATGTGCTCCTCTATGATTTGTCCATCAATAAATCTTTTTTTCTTCTTCTCTATTATTTGAAGTATTCTTCATTTTACAAACCATTATTATTCAACAAACTCTTTTTTCAGGTAAAACTTTTTTCGCTCTCTTCAT